ATATATATATATATATATACTGTATATATGAGATGTTTGGGACATTTCAAAGATGTTTTGAGAACAGAAGTTTTCGACATGACCAATAAAACCTGTGGTAATGCACGAGATCCCATCATGCATGCTTGTGTCAGATAAGTAAATTTGTTATTTTCCCTCCAGTCAAGTATCTTAATATGCCGCAAAACCCAAAGCAAATCGCAAAAATTAGATTTTAGTTGGTTTTACTTTAACTGAAGAACGCAATCAGTACACTGACAATACTACTAAATGAGTCCCCAAGGCTCTCTGTGATGGACTTGAGACCTGTCCAGGGTGTACCCCGCCCCTTACACAGTGATTGCTGGACATGGGCACCGGCGACCCCCCTGACCCAAAATGGAAGAAGCGGGTAAAAGATAATGGATGGATGGATGGAGTCCCCAAGGCTCAATGGGATTAACCTGTATTAATAAAGGTTGAATGAAAAAATACTTAAGATTTTTGCTAAACAACTTTAAACAAAGATAAAAGTCCCAAACGTTTCCATAAACATGGCAATGTTTATGTCATATAGCTCTGTTAATCTTCACCATTTTGAATATTATTTACTAAATAAAACAAAACATTAGCTCTATAAAAAACACCATTTTAAACATGAACTTTACACCTTTATGCAAGTTGAACTCTGGCACGTCGATGCATCATTTCCACATCTTTCTGCTCATAATATATTTAATCAACACGCCCACTCATAAACAGTGACATTCACTTAGCTGATTTTAAATGTTCTAATTATTCAAAATGTGCCATGTGCTTATTCTAATACAACCCAAAGACTGAAAACAGATGAATATTGTTTTTAATGCAAATCAGTCAGGTTTTGTTTTATTCCTTACTACTCTAAACCTTTTCAAATGGACTTTGTAAATATGACAGGCTGTTTAGCTGTTTGCTGTTATCCTGCATATGATTAATTAATGCGCCCACATATTCCTCATACAGGTGGTTGAAAGGGAAGCACGCCTGAGAACAGCACAGCCATCTGTTGTGTTTCAGAGCTGGCGTGTGGGCGGTGAAAATTAGCACGAATCAAAATGGAAATAATGCATGTAGGTTCAGAATTAAATTAATATCACAGCAGTTTTACTTTTCATTTACGTAGAAAATGAGTATATGAAAAAGTGAGAAGAGGTTGCTTGTGCGCAGGCAAAGAACATCAGGTATTTGTATTTGGAGGAGTGTAGCTGGTTCGTATGAGAGTACACGTGCAGACTGAGGATAACTTCTCAAAGTCAGACAGGGGGATCTTTTCTTACACTTTATCCTCCTTTCTGCTTGAAAAAAACAACTTGTTCGTTTGGTGTCAGATAATAAACTGTGAAATTTACAAGTTTTGATACAATTGCATGTTTTTGGTTGATGTGCAACAAATCAGAACTAATTAATAAAGGCTCGTGTTTTTTTTAATAAACAGTGATTCTTCATCTTCTAGAACACAAAATAAAGTATTTTTTGGTGCAATGAAGTGCCAAGAATCCCATCAAGAACAAAACATTTAATAAAATAATTTGTAATTAGAGTAGTTTCTGGCACAGAAGGCGTTTTTTGGGGCAATTTGATGTTTTTTGCAGCTTTTTAAGAAGTGGGCGCTTTATAATATAAAATTATTATTAATATAATTTAAAATTGACAGTATTGCAATTCATAGAGTTAATGAAATAACATTTGTTTGTAAAACCTTCATTTAGAACTAGTCTGAAGGAGCGGTGTTGTAGTTCAGGAAATAGGATTGTGGAATTGTCTTGATATCACCATAAAATTTCTAAAACATTTTATATGTTTAAAAAGATGATTAATTTAAAATAGTTAGGAAACTATGACACCATGTAAAGAATGCCTGATGCTTTTTCACTTTGGGGTTCAAGCATGAGTTATTGTTTGTAGTTATTATATATATTTTTTAAATAAGGGGCAGATATAATAATAATTTTTTTCTTCTTTCTTCACCCTTTTCATTCAATGCTTCTTTTCTTTTTGATGAATTTGTTTTGTTTCTTTTAAATGAACGAATAACTTAAAAAAAGAATAAAAAGCCTTTCTTGACTCACTGCTTTGATGAGAATCTTTCTATATTAAGGTCATGTTAGAAAAATGTTTTTCTATGGAATAGTATTTTTTTTATGTATTTACAGACTGTTTAAAGGCTTTGCTAATGGTGGAGAAAAACAGACCCCCCTCCCCACACACACACACATACACACACACACTTACTGTATAGTATTCTTTCTGATGAACACAGAATAAATTTGAACAGAGCCGTTCTTGATATTTCTAATTAAACTTGTGCTTTTCCAGTTTTGAAAGCCTAAAATGAATGTTGAGGAAAAAAATAAATCTCTGTTTCTTTCTTTTTATGTATTTTTTTTTTGTTTTTCTAGAGCTACAACTCACACTCAGCCTCTCAAATTTGTTGCTACAGGTCAAAAGTGTGAGCAACGCCCAGAAACTGTATGAGGGGATGACAACTACAGTGAGACATGCTGGAGACACAAATGAGAATATCATCTCATCTCCTACATGTTTCCAGGCTTTGCAGAAGATGTCCAGATAAAGAAAGAGTCAAACATAACTGTTGCCACACCTTTGAAAACAATATTCCCACAATAACTGGAAAACAATCACCGTTAAAACTAACAATTATTTAGTCACGCAACTTTTGCAGGACACTGTTGGGACATTCCCACAACAAAAATCCTGATGATTTTTTATCCCAAATATTGTTTAGCATTTGGAAAACATCATCAAACAACATGCAAACAGGTAAGTAAATATTTAGTGAGACCAAAACTGAAAATGGATTCATTTTGACTGATTTGTTCTGTAATTATTAGTTTTTATCTACTTTCCAACCTTTGCAGCCGACTGAGAAACTGGCTTTAATATATTTATGTTTTTTTTGTAACTTTGATTTTAAGTTTGCTATAATTTTTATTTGGATTAGGAAATAATTTGACTTGTGTCTCTTCAGTGCTCTTTGGTAACCAGGTTATTAATCCAGACGAAGAGGAATTATAACCTGAAACCAGCAGCTTGGGCCACATTCCTCAGTGATCTCACTGTCTGCAAACAGATATTAGTAAATTTTCATCTGATCCGTCCCACCATCATACCTGGTCCTCCTCTCCTCCTCCCTCCTCATCATACTTCAGGATGTTGTCCCTAACGTCGTCCTCGGGGTCGATCAGCAGGGGCTTCGCCTGCCGCTCCTTCTCCCTGCGCTTCATCCACACCACAAACAGCAGAACCATGCCTGTCGAAACATGGAGGAACAAAGAAGCTGCACTTATCTCACTTTTCAAAACGTTTTCACTCATAAAATGCTTAAAGAGTGTTCAGATGCCTCTTTGCGACGGTACTCACTGAGCAGTATAATTATGCAGATGAGTATGGCGATGATAGCTCCGGTGCCGAGACCGGCGGCCGCCACGGCCCCTGTGGCGCTGCAGTCCCCATTATTGTCACAGGGACAAACTTTGATTCTGATTAAAGAGCGGTTTGACAGAGGGGGGTTCCCTGAGTCTGACACTATAACTGGGATCTCATACACACCCGCCTCCAGGTAGGGTATCCGTAGTCTGAGCTGAGCGTAGTCACCTGTGGAAGCCGTGGGCGATGAAGATCATGAGGAGAGCAGAAACAGCACAAGACGAAGGTAGGTGCAAAGGACGTGAGGAGACACGAAGGGAGAGAAAAGGGAAAATTAGTAAATTACTCAATGTACTGCAGATAAATGGCATGTCTTTTTGCACCGTTTTGTCATCAAGTGCATGTCAAACCGCATGAAAACAAAGTGCACAGCAATCATTCTGTCATGTACTGTCTGTAGGAAGGCATTAAAGGCATAAACACATACAAAACTACAGTGCGTAACCTTCAGCATCTATCACTCAGTCAAGCTAAGACAAGAGTCTCAGCGGGAGACGAATCCAGGTATGTGATCCGATTTGTCCTCGAGACAACCACTGTGATACATCCATCTGCTTGGATTAGGTGACAGATCGTCCGCTCAGGGGACTGAGAGATGAATGGACCTCATTTGTCACAAACGATAGATCGTACGTCAAACACTGGATGGCACCGGCGTTTCTCACTGTGAGCTTTCTAAGACATTTTGTTAAACTTGGACTTTCCCATCATAGCTTACAGCTGTCCCCATTTTGAGGATTAATGTTGCAGGGTTCTGCGGAGGCGTTCAGGGTTTTAATTAACACCCCATTATTCATTCCACCACGTCTCCTAAAGTTTGTGGCACTGAAAGGGTTTGTTGGCTAAAACCCAGTCGTTTAATGGAGTGCATAGCATTTAATTACCGTTCAGTCTAGAAATGGTCCAGTTGCGACGGATGCTGGCAGGAAAAGATGGCAGCTCGAAGACGAAGGGTCCGATGTTGGGCTCCGTGTCAGCGTCCGAGGCTGTGATGTTGATCCTGGAATTGGGGCGAGCTCGCTCGCAGATTTGGGCCTCCCGGGGTATCAGCACCGGAGCGTTGTCGTTCACGTCAATCAAGTAAATCTGGAGTGTCCCCGTCCCGCTGGCTTGAGGAGAACCTAGAGGACAGAAGGGAGGACAAAGAAGGTGACCAGCAGGAAGCTGGTGAGGCAGCAGCGTGGAGAAGAAACAAATAAAAACCTAGCATTCCTTGAAGGAATGTCGCCTTTATGTCAGAGTTGTAGACAAAATGTATCTTTTGATGAGAAATGACAAAGTTAGAGCAGCTTTGGTCAAACCTTGTACTGTATTTTCTGGACTATAAGTTGCTCAGGAGTTTAGGTCGCATCAGTCAAAAAAATGCCTCATGAAGAGGAAAAAACAATATATAAGTCGCTTTGGGTAAATTCCCCAATCTTATTCCACATCACATTTTACTTGTGTTAAGTTTTTCTCAGTTGTCTCTAAGTGAATGTTGAGATGGGGACGGTAGAGGAAAAACATAGTTGTCAAAAGCCTAGAGGGCCCTCTCACGGCTGCAAAGGGTAGTGTTTACCCTTGGAAAAAACATATATGTCACTTCGTTGCAGGACTGGACAAATTATGAAAAAAGTGTGACTTATAGTCCGAAAAATAAGGTAAAAAATGTATTCAACCTCAAGTAATAATGGGGGATCTATCTTATGAGGTGTGTTAGTGCTCAGTGTATGTGTTGGGAATGACTCTCAGCTACTACCACATCAAACTTTAACTCAATATCAACAAATCTGACTGAGCTATAGCCTTTTTTGTGTTGTTTACTTTTAAAGCTCTTAAAGTGCCTGTGACTGGGAAATTTTTCTAATTACCATTAATGAGAATGCATTTTTGGGAAGAAGATATTGGTAACATACTGATGAAAAAAATTTCACGCCGCTGAGAGGAACAGTGGTCGAGATAGTCTCATTTACAGTAACAGGAAGTGATGACAAAGGGGAGCACCTGCATGTAAACAGCGTTGCTACAACGGCTAACAACACAGACAGTAGAGGAGAATCTGATGTTTAGATTATTTTAAATCACTATCAGAGAGAGATGAAGAAGAGTTAGAGTTCAAATAATATTGTTTCAATAAACAAAGACCAGGAAGTTTCCTTTTTTTTAAAGAGTCCCCCTTTGATGTCATTTCCTGTTTTACCTTGGCTGCACAAACTTAAAAAAAAGCCAGTTAAGTAACAAAATGGGTAAACTCATGTACATTGTGCCAAATTTCTTAAATGTTAAAGATGTTTTCGTCCACTATTCATATTTGCCAGTATGCATGTCACACATTAATGGTTTTGCCCCACCTTATTTAACTGATCTATTAGTTTCCAGAAGTATGAGAGGACTGTAAGGTCAACTAATACATTACTGCATGTCTCAAAGTCCAAATACAAATGTTGGGGAGTCTCTGCACCCAGACTGTGGCACCCCCTCAGGACTGATGCTCCATCACTGACGGCAGGCTTTTAATACCTAAAGGCACTCTGGCGTCTTTGCATTGTTCTTGTCCATTTTAACTTTTGTACTGTGAATCGATTACCTGTTGATTGTTAACAAGGGCTCTTGAAATAAATGTTGATTGATCATTGATGTGTTTTAAATAGTTCTCAGCTGCCGCCACACTGACTTTTAGCTCAATATCAGTCCAGTTGGCTGAGTTAGAGTTATTTGTGCATTTTTCTAAGATTAGTTGGCTGTGGTGGCCAGGTTGATTTGGGTTGACTCCAAAGTTGAATCAGCTGTACATGTAGTTCCAATGATTACAATCTGAGAGTTGTAATAACATTTGTCCAGTGGTTCATGAATATATCAGGCAGAATGAACATCCACACTGACACAAGCAAAACTCATTTTTCTCTTCCACGTTCAGCCGAGTTATAGTAAGAAAAATAAGCAACAGAAGACAAAATGATGAGAGCGCCGCTGACAATGTCCCTCCTTCCTGCTGCAGCGGAGTCATTTGTGGAGCTGAGAAAATGGGACAATGAAAGGAACAATAGAGAATAAAAGGTTTTGTTTATTTTCTGTGTGAAGAACGCCGGGACGGAAACAGACACACGCGTGGAGGAGCGAGCACACAAAACCCAGGAGGAATGAGAGCACAGGACTAAATATTCTCCTTCGTGCCTCCATAATTACCCTCGGCCTGAAAACTCCGAGGTGACGTTCACGTCGGAGGAACAACGCTCATAAAGATTTGTGCTATCTGCACTTTGCAAAGACTCCTGAGAAATGAGCCAAACCTTTCAGTGCAAGCCCATCAGAACCGGCTCGGGCTTTCTCCTCACTGTCAGGCTGAACCTTGACCAGGCTCAGATTCTCAGGTTTGATGTGGTGGGAATGCAGCAAGAACTGATTTTTGATGAAGAAACAGTTCTTCCTGCTGCTTGTGTTGAAGCTATTTAACACAAACTGTTTATGTGCGGGAAAAGAACCGAGCCTCTGGCTTGCTTCCAACTGGAACGAGCTGAAAGCAGAGAGAACACGTATAATCAGGCTGAACTCTGCTGTGAACGTATATCTTTCACTCGTAGACGTAAAGTAGGAACCAGACTCAACAGAACCAGCTCGTTAGAAGAGATGAAGTTCTGCTTGAAATCAAATGATGTGACAAAGCCTGATCAAGTTTCAGCGGCATAGTTTGTTTTAGCTCACTCAGGTCCTGAGACGAGGATGTTTGGAAATGATAGATCGAGAGAGGAGACAGCTGTTTCTGTTGCAGGTCCAAACCTGCGGCCCGACGCAGCTGCCTCTCATACTAACCTTCGACCCAGTGTGAGTTGATTTGAACCTTTTTTAATTTTATTTTTATTGATCTTGTCATTTTGGGGAGTGGTGGCACAGAGGTTAGAGAAGGTCGCCCAGACCGGTGGGAAAGGTGAAACACCCACACCTGCCTCCACCCTCATTTGCCCCACCTTGAGCCCTTGAGCAAGGTCCTTAACCCCCACCATCTGCTCCCCCAGGTGCCCTACAAGGCAGCTCTCTGCTCCACACAGAGGGCTGTGGAGCTCGATGGTCTGTGGTTGTGTCAGGAAGGACATCCGGCGTAAAAAACAATCATCAAGCCTTCGTGAGAGTTAGTTGGCTGTGGCGACCCCTGACGAAGGGAGCAGCCGAAAGAAGAAGAAGAAAGAAGATTGATCTAGTCGTTTTAATTGTTTCTTGTTTTATTTTATATTTTCTCACCTCTGATGATTTATGTATTTTATCCCGTGTCCTCTGCTTGCTTGTTTTATTGTACACTGTGTTTGACCTTGTTGCTGTTTTTAAGTTCTTTATAAATCAAGACGTCTGATATGGTAAAAAACATGCACATAAACAAATAGAAATGTACTAATCTTACTTCTATAAAATCTGTACATGATCAAATTAATCATCCATTCTTAAGTTTAAAGGCTGAGGATTCCTTGAAGAAATGCAGATCGCTCCTCTCTGCCAGAGTTTACATCTAAGATCATTTCATAATAAGAGAGGACAGAATCATTCACTGATCTCAAACAACCTGTTAGCTCTTAATGTGTTGAGGATGACTCTCAGCTACTACCACACCAAGTTTTAGCCTACTATCTGTAAAGCTGACTAAATTTGTCATTTTGTGTTGGCCAGTTTTGATCATCTGCGGCAGCCTTCTTGAACTGAGTTAATTTTATAAGGTATCACTAGATGTATATCCAGTTCTTATTTTCTGAGAGTTCATCAAAGTTCATTTCGTGCGTCACAACATGTTTCAATAAAACTACAGTTGACTTCTTTCTGATAAATATGCAGCAGCAACAGCAAAAAAATAAAATAAACAACACAAATAGAGAAAAATGTCTTTGCAACAGAGACTTATTGTGGAATTATGTTCAGTCAAAACTTAGAAAATATTCTTGAGATTGTTTGTTCTATTATGCGTAAAGTCAGTAAAGATTCAGAGAACACACAAAGACCAACTTCGCAGTTTGACTTTTGTGGACTCGCTCTTTCGCGTTTTTTTCAAAGTAAAATTGAACACAAGGAAGAAAGAAATTGTAGCGGACAAATGATTGTCCTCTTTAATATTACTCACGTAATCGGGACAGTTCGGATACGGTACGGTAAAAAATTTACAAAAAAATAAAATACTTTGGACAGGAGCCACCATTTTGTAGTTTTCTCTCATTAAGCTTACACTGTATCCCTGCTCATAAGGACTGCATTTCCCAGAAGCCAACAGTGCCCCGCCCAGAAGCCCCATTTCCTTCTGCTGAAATATGTAGAGGGAAAGTTTTGATCTGATGGAAAAAAAGTTTGGTGCTTATTACAGTGACTTCAGTGTCCAGCAGATGAAGAGAGCTGCACAGAACCGGACCAGAACCAGACCTCCAGACCCATTGGTGAATCCGAGAGCTGTTAGCCGACTCACGAGGTCTGGGGGACGCGCCGTCGTTGGTCCGGTGCTCACTCCGGAGTCCACCACCACTACCCCGAGTAGTAACCCCCGCAATAAACGAGGGACTACTGTACTCCTTTTATTGTGGCATCTTTTCCTCAAACCTTGACATGAACTGATGGAGTCAACTCTATTTGTTAATTTAAGTATCTAATCTTATCCAAGTATCAATAAATAATTGTCTGATCATACCATGTGAGCCCTGAACAACAGTGGATGAGCTGCACAGCTGAACGAACACTGCTTGTACTCTGATTCATCGTGGCCTTGATGCTTCCATGGACGCTCCATCCACTCCGACTGTCAGCAGGTTGATCTACATTCCTGCCGCGGTGCAGCAGAGTTTACTCCAGCGGCTCATCAGGGTTTCAGATCAACTCCTTTTTATTAATTTTTTGATGCATCGGCTAAGTAAAGGTCTGCTTCTCCAAGCCTCCAGGCCCATCGACTGCCTAGTCGGTTCTGATTGGCTGCGTGCGTTGTAGCTTCATACACTTCGCCTGAGTAGAATAAGTGAAGAGAATTTCAATCCAAGTGGAACGTATCCCCTTGTTGACACTGGCCTCCAGGATCGATAGGCAGTCAACACTTAGCTTCGGTCCGCCGGTGCTTCAGGATCACGAATCTCTCATTTCTCACATGAGATTAAAACACACCTGAATCTGTCCTGCTTGAACACAGAGTGAGGCTCCTCTGCTGCTTCACACATTAAACTTCATGCGTCGCTGTGGAGGCTGATGCTCAGGACCTTCACTCACAGATAATCTTCCTTTTTCTTGCAGAGACGAGGCTGTGCAGGTTATCTCTGACACAACACGCCCTACATGCAACACAGAACTCATTACTAGACGCATGGAGCAGAGCACGCAGACAGTATTATTATTACCCACTATCTCAGGGTTACCAGCATTTCACGAAAACAAAATTCCCTGATTTTTCCTGTTAAATCCTTAAATTCCAGGAGATATTTCAGTCAAACAAAATGCTCAGAGCTTAGTGTTATACGTGGTGAGCAGAGTCACATTTTGTAGCATACGGCAGTCATTCCTAATAATGAATTATTTTATAACATCAGATACTAAAGCCCCCACAGCCATTCAGTAACACATGTACCATGTTCACTGTAGAAGCAGAACATGGACTCACTGATACACAAATACTAATGTTAAAACTAGAAAAATAAATAAATTTAGAAAAACAAAGGGAAAAAAGATTTAAAAAAGAAAGAAAAATGAATGACTTCAGCTGTCAATCAATGTCAGTGGGTTGGACCTGCACGCCCACTGGTTGATCCTTCACATCCATTAGTTTTCCTGTTGCTCACTGGTACCGCTAGTGTTGATCTTGTTAAATTCAAAGTGCTCGCACCTGCGGCGCCGATCGATTTTTGTCAGTCCATCACTTTGTGTCATGACACCTGTATCTTCTGAGAACGTCATCCTCACAGTTTGATCTGCTAAAGTTACCTGAGCTGAACGAAGTTCATGCAACTCTGCCATCCTTCATGAATGTTGACCTAGCAAGTCGCTACTAGCTGCTAGGATGTGAAGGATCAGCCAGTGGGCGTGCAGGTCCAGCCCACTGACATTGATTGACAGCTGAAGTCATTTTGCTGAACAGTGGCATTATGAAATAAATAAGCTATCATGAAAAACACAATTATGAAATAAAATAATAAACTTTTTTTTCATAATAATGAGTGTAGATACTTATTTCATAATGCCTTATTCATTTATTTAATTTTGACCATTTTGGTGTTCTATATAAATCAGGTGTCTCTTGCAAATGAGTCCTCGAGGCTCAATGAGACCATCCTGTATAAATAAAGGTTGAATGAAAAATACATGTGCACGGTACAGTCTCAGAAAGAACATCTTTTAATCAGCAGATGTGTTATTCCTTAAGTTCCCATCACTGGTCCTTGAGGAATGCCATCCTGCATGCTTTAGTTGTTTCTTTGCTTTGACACATTTGGTTTTAATTAATGGGTGATTAACAGGCTTCTGCAGAACATGACGTAATTAAACCACTGAATCAGGTGTGTTGGAGCAGAGAAACAACTCAAACATGTAGGATGGCGTTCCTCAAGGACCAGGTTTGGAACCACTGCCTGACAACACAAACATGGTTATATTTCAGTCAGGTTTACAGGTACTGTGCTAAAATTTGGTGTGGTAGTAGCTGAGGGTTATTCCCAACACTTACTCTGAGCTTGATATATTACATTAGATCAAGGGTGTCAAACCCACTTACAAAAGGGGTACAAAATTAAAACCTTTTTCAAACTAAGGCCTGTTTCAGAATCTACATTAACTCAAATCAGATACTTGACATCTTTTCTTGGTTGCAGGTTCCTCAACAAGAGTTTGATTGGTCTCATTTGATGTTCTCTGTTGCAGTTTTGACATCATAAGCAAAGATTACTGAAAAATGAAAGTGATTCAAGTATTTTACATTTAAAATAACATCATGGGGGCCAGATACGATGTCAACGAGGGCCACATTTGGCCCCTGGGCCTTGAGTTTGACACATATGCATTAGATAACCTGTGCATCTTATGATCAAGGGTCAAACTGAGAGGCTACAACTCACCTGTTGCTCAACAAACAGAGACAATCTTTGTCTAAGTCTGTGGCGTGAAAGGTGGCAGGTGATATGCAACCCTTCAAGGGCTGCTCGGCCTTTCTTCACCCTCCACGTTCCAATATCTCCATACGTCTCTCCTCCATTTAAAACAAGCTGCTCAGCTTCAATCACTCTGTTTTATCCTTTTCAAAGAACTTCACACCTTCAGGTATTTTTGATTCTTCCTGTTAACGGTTTTCTGTATATTTTTTCTTAAGTCAAACTGAGGGTAAAGAACGGACGGTGCTGAACGCTGCACAGATCTCAAACCTCCTCGGGGCAAAATGTGTGATGTTTGGATTTTCAAATTAAATTGACTCGCCATGATGTGAGGGCTGCTTTTCCTCCACAAGCAGAGTCTCTGCAGTCGCTCAACACATAAAAAAACAGACCTAACGTAATATTGTATAGATCCACCTTTAATCTGAATCCTGCAAAAATTACGACCATCCTGCCTGAACGACAAGAAACAGGTTTGAGAAAACATTATTGGATTAGGGAGTGATTCAACGCGACTGCTGGTACACTAATTCACTTAGACGTCTGATAAAAAAGAAAAAGATTAAAAAAAAGAACAAAGAAAAGCAAGAAAACAAACATCTTTTATATTTTAATCAAATGAAACAAATCCTCAGCATCTAAAGCACCTCTGTGTGGCTGCACAGACGTGCTTTGAGCTAAAAGTAGCATTCTGACCTGTGGAAATCTGAAAAGCTCACTCGTGTTCTAACAATTTACTTTGATGAGGACAAAACGTTCTGAACAAGCGCCTTTTTATTTTTTTTATTTCCTGCTAAAAACACACATCTCAGCTTTAAGATGGCACACTGACATATTTCTTTGCAACCATCTTGCAGGATGATCACCACAACACACACGCACACATCCTGACTTACCAGACTTACCATTGTCGTACGCCAAGAATGTCGCTTCATACATGTTGTTTTTGACATACATGGACTCTCTGTCCAGCAGGGCCATGGTGGTAATCTGACCATTGGTCCTGTTGATCTTCAGCCAGTTTGCAGGGTCTGATAACTTGGAGTACCTGCACACACACACAGAAAACATTTAGTCCATTTAATTCTACTGAAAACATCCACATCCTCCAGCGGACGATTGCTTGAATAGCAGAAGCTCTGAATCCAAAGTGCCCATTATGGTTGAAAGACGATTAGCATAATAAGCTACGTCAGTCGAGCGCCTCTGAAACTCTACAGCGGCCAGAGAGTGGAACATATGTTCTCCAAACTTATGAATGCTGTCGCTCATTAGCATGAAGGCTGAAGAAACCCTGAGTCCACGAGTGGGAGAGCCAAACAGCGCTCTCCCTTTGTACTCGCTCCGGCGCCATAGCAACAGTTACGGTCATCACAAGTTTGTACTGAACATAACAGCTTCCGTTCAAGTTGATAAATCTCATTAACACATGATGAGAAGCTTCAACAGTAGGACTTGGGGAGGGAGGGAGGGCAGAGTGAGAAATAGTTAATAGTGTACAAGGCGACGTCTGGTTCGAGGGTCAGAGGTCGCTGTAATGACAAGAAATGGGTTCGGACACACGGGTGAGGGGAGAGAGCACGGTCGTGTTTCTCTGTAAACATGGGCGGTGGATCATGACTGACATAAAGAGCAGCTTAATTAAAGGAGAGCATCTGAGGCTGACAGCGGTTAGCCGTGACTCGCACCATCGTTCTGGAGGACTAAAGCTAAAGACACTGCTAACACACAGCTGCAGGAGACAGACGGCGACACCCGTCTTCATATTCTACGGTTGAGGAGAAAACACAAGAAACAGATGAACAAAACTTTAATTTCTCAGTGAAAGAGCTCACCATGCTGTGTAAGAGTGGGTTTGATATTGCAGGTGAGATTCTGGGGTTTGTGTGGCGTACCTTCCTGTGCCATCAAGGCATCCCCTCCCCCCGTTGGAGCAAGAGGAGTCAAATGTTTTACTACACCTCTGAGGTCTTGGTTGTCATTCTGGCAGAAGATTTAATTTGGGATTACCAGGATCTCATTAGTTATGTTAACAATATATTTAATGTAGTTGTAATTTTACAAACACTGAGCTAAAATTTGATGTTAGAAATTGAGTCTCGTTAAAAAACGCCTCATCAGATTATAGTTTTTCTAGGTTCAGATCCTGATCAGTCTGTGCGGTTTCAGCTGTTTCTCTCCTGTGCCATTTCACCCTCAGTCAGCTCCTCTTAGTCAGCCTGCGACTCACCTGTTCCCAGTCTGTAATTAGTCTGGGTCTCTCCAATACCGCCACAGCCTAGCTCCATTATTGGCCTTAATGCAACAAGAAACGGTTGCCTGCGTATTCTTAGTGTTTGTTCTCCTTGTGCCTCTCGAGCCGTGTACGTTATTCTGCAACATCAGCTTTTTTGTCCCGTCACAGAGCAAAAACAGGGAATTGGAAATACCTTTCGTCTGTCCTGATAACTTCAAAAATAATTGAAGTACAGGCTTCCATTTTGGTGTGTAGCTACTTCTAGGCATAAGAAAGATCCCTATCAAAAATGTTGTTGTCGTCAAAATCCAAGATGGCCACAACCATATACAGTATTCCCTCACTATATTGCGGTTCACTTTTTGCAGCTTCACTATATTGCACTTTTTTTAAACCCAGTTTTTTATATTGTGTGTACTGTACATGCTGTGCACTACTGTACATTCATCTCATCGTCATCATCTTCATCACATTCGTCAAAGTGTTTAAGAGCATATGAAGTGTTTATAAGAGAGTGGAAAGGTTCATAAGTGTGGGAATGGGTTTTAAAGTCTTAAATATAGATCCAATGTTTCCTCTACCATTATAAAAGCAGGGCGCCCCGCCTACTGAACTGAACTGCACGTAGAACTGAACCCCCCCGCCCCCGATCAGCAGTGACGCAGCGCTAAGCTAGCTGCATGTAATACAGGCGCGTAACTAAAAAGCTAAAGGTAGCACTCATGCTGCCTCTTCCCTCAACGCTGACACCCGTGCGCGAAAACTGTCGGTACAAACAGTGCACGGCTCTGAAGTCTCTCCGTCTCCCCCACCCCCATCAACAAAAATCACAGACAAGACGAGTGCTCCGCCATGGCAAGTTATCTAGGGGAAACACTGATATAAATAATAAAATAAATATAACATTGCTACTTTACTGACTTTCATCTACCGTGGGGGTCTCTGGAACATAACACTCGTGAAATGTGAGGGATCACTGCATACGTAAACCAGCCACCCTTATCATTTGAAGAAACTACGCTTTCTAGTTTTTATATTGCATAAAAGTATAGTTTCTTCAAATGAGTGGCCAAAGATTTATCTATGGTGGGCGAGTCCACCATTGGCCACCCTTTTTTGCCATGCTCCATTAAATGTTCATCTTTAAAGAACTGTTAACATTTGCAGGAGCGTACCTTTGACCAAACCCAAAAGCTCCATACATAAACCTTTATATTTGAGTAAACACAAGCATTTTCTCACATCACCAAAAACAACATTCATTTTCTTTAAAGACTAATGATAAACACTTACAAAAACACATAAACCAACACATAAAAGCCTTCATATACTCATGCTTGGTGCCATTTAAATCCCATCAAACAATAAAATCAGCTGGCAAACAGTCTTGGCTTCACATCATCTTGTTTTGTCTTTCCTCCAGAGAGAGAGAGAGAGAAAAGGAAAGAAAATCATAAACTTAAAAAAAACAACCCCAGCTGGCTCTTCTCCCATTCAGCATGCACGCACATGGCTTTCAGTCATGCTCTGTAGGTACTCGCCTGCACGTTGGTGTGCATCCAGCAGTGTGTGTTTGTGCATTTCTCTGTCTTTTGTGCGTGCATCGTGCAAAGGTTCAAGTGAGGTTGCCTAAAGGGAATACAGGAGTAGAGAAGTACGCTGCCTGAGCTGAAGTTCTGCCGGCAAACTGCTGCAGAGGAGACATCAGCTCTGAGCTCGCATCAATAAAAGACACGCAGACTGACAGGGAAGAAAATGACGAGGTCAGCGGGTGGGAGTGGGAGGAAGGGAGGAGAGAAAAAGTGAGTGCAGTACAAGAAGAGTTACTTCTCCCAAAGGCCAGATGAACTCAGCCCACTTGGTTTGCATAATTGGTCTTTTTAGGAGAAACGGTAGACGTTCAGGTACTGCTCACACATCTGTTTATACATGAGCACGTTGCCCACCATCCTCTGTTCCCATCAATTTGGTAACATTTCCACTCGCCGTCTCAGTGACATTAAGAAAAATCCATCTCTCTTGTTGGAGCTGGAGCAGAATGGTGCTGCTGGATCTCGGGGAGGGGGGGCACGTGGGAGTTTGTGTCACGCAGGGTCGATGCCTGGATGGCCCAGTGCCCGCTGAATGTCATCCCAGTTAGGACAAGGAGCAGGATCAATAAGGAGGAAGATAGGGATCCAAAGAGGGACAGACGGACAGTGTCCAACTCATTACACAAGGACCTCTGGTCGCCTGGCAACCAGGGAGGAGACTGGGATGTGGGTGGTAGATCAGCTGATAATGTCACAGAAGAAGCATAAACTGTGAAAAAAAAAATTCTGGTGATGTTTAAAAATACAAGAGGGACATGCACAAGATACAGGAACTGTTTAACTTTTTGTTAGGGATGTTATGGCCAAAGTTTATGGATGTTTTTAACTACCATGGCTGAGAAGGTTAACTCTGCCATGAATCATATGTTTGGGTTAGTAGACAGCTGGATGAGGAGCTGGGTGAGGCTGTAACATGCAGCTGTCACTTCAAGGACGTCTCCGAGTCTGTGAGCTCGGCTGAACTGATAAGTGTATAAAAACAAGCCGCACACACTGCCCATGACAGATTCTTGTGACTACGCTTCATACGTCTACTTCCTGTATATCTGTGTGTACTTCCTGTATATTTGTGTGTACCTCCTGTATATCTGTGTGTACCTCCTGTATATTTGTATGTACCTCCTGTATATCTGTGTGTACTTTCTGTATATCTGTGTGTACCTCCTGTATATCTGTGTGTACCTCCTGTATATCTGCGTGTACTTTCTGTATATCTGTGTGTACCTCCTGTATATCTGTGTGTACCTCTTGTATATCTGTGTGTACCTCTTGTATATCTGTGTGTACTTCCTGTATATCTGTGTGTACCTCCTGTATATCTGTGTGTACCTCCTGTATATTTGTATGTACCTCCTGTATATATGTGTGTACTTTCTGTATATCTGTGTGTACCTCCTGTATATTTGTGTGTACCTCCTGTATATCTGT